AGCTCGGCTGGAGGGACGAGGACCATGGAAGGAAGAGCAGTGAGCGAGGTCCTGCTTTGAAGGGAAAAAACGCTTAGGATCAAGTGAAAGCTGCATTCACAACTTGGAAACCTTGCTGTTTTAGGGTAGTGGTTCTCAAAGGGTGGTTTGGGGGTTTCCAAGGACCTCTGGGTGTCGAAACTATTTTTGTAACAATGGCAAGATGTTATTTGTCTTTTTCACTAGAATTATCTCACAAGTATTCACTGGACTTTTCCAGAGGCTGACTTGTGATGTCACAACAGAATGAATACAGAACAGATATGAGAATCCAGCTATGTTCCGTTAAGGCAGACATTAAGAGATCTACAAAAATGTAAAAGTGTCATTCTTCTCACAGAGTGACTTTTTATAAAAATATTCTCTTTAACATCAAATAGGTTATGGTCACTTAAAAATGGATAAACAAAATGTCTCAGTTGTAATCCCTAATAAAGTAGATGTAACCCACAAAAATGAAAGTCCTCTAGGGTCTTCTTTCATTTTTAAGAGTAGAAAGGGGTCCTCAGAGAAGGACCAGGTTTGAGAACCACTGTCCTAGAAAAAGAATGATTTAGACTATAAAAAGGTAGGAAACAAGCATTTAGGGAAAACTCATGAGTATCATCATAATCTATTTCAAGACAACAAAGCTTTTGAACTTCAAACTCCACTTGACATCAACAGAATTTTCAGGTCTTTTGTTGCCAATCCAAAACACCCTATGAAAAATACATCTTCAAAGGAAACAAAATGTTTAAAGATAGAGCCACCTCAGCAGATTTATGCAAAGTGCAGAATTGCTGCATTTTGTAGCTGAGAAGGTCAGAGAAGACGTGCAGGTTCTTTGGGCACAGCTTCTCCCACTCTGTCAAGAGTGCTGCTGAATGGCATAAATCATTTGTTATCGTCTCGCCTGCGTGTTTTCCCTTTGGCTCCGCAGCTCAGGCTGCTCCGGGAATGCACATGTGACCTCCGCCAACGCCCAGGGGACTTCCTATGTGCCCTGGTCTAAGTGTCTATAAGCCGATTGAGAACTGTCAAGCTGTCTCTTTCAACTCTGGACAGGAAGGCAAGATGAGCTGGGCTAACTGAGGATGAAGCACCAAGAACTACTGATCAAATGAAGGGGTCAAAGCGATTCGGTCTGTGATGACACAGTGTTAAACCAGTAGTCAGGAAATGGCAATTAAATGAGAACAAATTTCTTTTTTTTTTTTTT